TTTGTCCACACCTAAACAGGCTTAATAAAATAAATCAGTCGGTAGAATACTCTGAGACATTCACAGAAACAACAACGTAAAAGTACTTTAAACAGGAACAGAAGAAAGACTTGGAAACTTATTTATCTCGAACAAACGTTTATGGCGGATTCTCGAATACTAATTGGGGCGCGCGGGAGTGAGAGTCGGTAATCGCGCTTAAGACGGAAGTTACCGGCAGTCGTTTGGTTATTACCATATTTGGTCAAGGAAGAGGCCGTATTTTGGCAAAACAGGGTCGATGGCAAGAAGGGCCATCTTCGTTTAAAAAAATAATTGGTTATTTAATGCCACTCGATGATATGTGGTCCTCGCGATATTGGGCCGAACGTTTGCGAGTACGCTTTAGGCGCGCTAGATGGCGTTGACACGCTATACTCTGAAGTAAGTGTATAATTAAGGATGGTACACGTTGAACTTAAATATAGTATAGCATATGTTTATTTTTAAATCACAAGTAATTAATTGGTTACAATATTTTTATAAAAACGAAGTTATACAATCGCAAGATTATCCTGCCTTTTAAACTAGGGGATATCCTGTACCTTAAGAGGCAGATAGAGGCAGATAATAACCTAAAATGTGACACATACATTCTAGTAAACTGAGGGATTTCACACTTACTTTGTAGATATTCCATCAAAGCATTTTGCTGCTACGTTTAATATGTGTACAGTGTACAGCTACGGAGGGGAGCCAACAACGATGCAATCAATACTTATATTGAATGTATTTATTGACATTTTTTGTGAAATAACTCCACTAGTTTTTGTTATAATTATGAATACAAAGATCGAAACACACACAAAAATTTCGTCGACCCAGTGGGACTTTGCACCGTAGCATTGCTCTTACCAACTGAGCTACGGGTCCAGTTACCGAGTCGTAGAAATTCTCCAATGTGTTTTTGTTATAGATCTTTGTACTGACTTTCTCAGACTGACCCGTGTCTCAGATGGTTAGAGCAATGCTACGGTGCAGCATGGTCGTGGGTTCAAGTCTTACCGGTTATGATTATTATTATTATGTTCTTTGTATTTTTCTCAGCCTGTTGGCTGATTTGAACCTGACTTACGGACCGTAATCGAGTAAATGCAGTATGGCGTGTATCTATGTGGAGGGTGTTAATAAGAGCGTACTACTACGTCCTCTTCCATCTGCAAGAACTTTCTCACAATGCGGCATGTATTAATTTATATTATTTACTTTATTTTTCTCAGCCAGTTATTATTATTATCTATTTTAGACTCTTAATACGCTTCTCTTAATATTATTATTATCGTCGATTTGTTTAAATTTAAATATTAATCGGATATGCTGATATAAAATCTTTGATGCTGATAATACAAACGATTTTAGAGTGTAATTTTTGACAGGTTCTCAGATATTCAACAGTTTTGCATTAAGCCTAAATCAAGTTTCCAAAACATTAATAATTAAATAGTACTAAAGAAAAGAAACTATGTTGCGTAATTTACTTACGTGTGTTCATTTATAATTTTATTTTCATAATACACAGGAACGGAATAATAAACGCTCAAATACTAGAAAGTAAAACTAGAATTAAATTATATGAATAAAATTGGATCTCCGCGGTGAGGTGCCTAAGAAGCTGGCAGCGTTCCTCCTTTGTATGGCTATGCTATTGCGTTGGGCAAGGTAGCTACCGGCCGTTGGGTTTCCCAGACACTCTACTAAATTTTTACGTGTTAAAACAGTCGACAATATAATATCTAACTGTATATCTTATAATTTAAATATTCATAGTATCAAAACAATTTACTGTTGCTTTAGTTTAATAAATTTAATAAAATTTTTATAAATACAATTTCATCAATGTTTTTATAGGCTTAGAATTGCCAAATTGCAAAAGACTTCTGTTTGTTTACATAGGGCGCTTTCAAATTAGACCCTTGTAGCGCTGCAGTGGCGCCCTGAGAACGTAATCCGTTACTCAAGTGAAGTGTTGTGCTGCATTGTTGTGTGCTGCGTGTACTCTTTCCATTGGCGTTTTGGCCGTCATTGCAGCATGTAAAGGCGTCGTAAATCGACCATTATGTACTAGCCTTTGATTGGCAGCCAAATAAATCGATTCTAGTGGGTGATATCCCAGATTGCGACGAGGTACATTTGTTTTTTGTAACGGTTTCTGGTCTCCGTTTAAACTTTCATCACTTAAAACCATCACATAGCATCGCGCATCACAACATATCGCGGAGTTGCGTTGTAAACGATATAGCGGACGAAAATACAAACAAAAAACTGTCACGTACGGGACGAGTGACAGTGAGCCCGCGATTGACCTTTCTTTGATTTGATTGATTGTGTCGCCAACGCCAAGCCCTCCTCCCTGTCCCGCGTACGCCTCTTCATTTATGTACGTACCTACATAAATAATAGCGTCGTGTTTAGAACGGTTGACTTTATGGCACCCATGCTGAATTGATAATTCTAAAAAAATAAATTATTGTGCAAATTTTACCTATCAATATTTTTCCAAAATTTAAATGGTGTTTAAAAACTGCCTCCTTGGCCGAACGACTGTCATGCTAGACTGCCACATGGAGGTCCTGGTTTCGACTCCCGGACCGGGAGAAATATTTGCACGACCTACATTTATTTAGTGTAATTTGTGGTTGTTTAGCTATGTGTATCCATGCCATCCGCGATACAGGCTTTCCCTAGTGCTGGGCTATGAGTGTGTGTGTAAGAAAAGAAGTCTGTTCTATAAAAGAAACTTGAAAAAAACTCGTTATTTAACGAGTTTTTGTGCAATTTGGCGTAAGCAATGGGTTACTAATTTGGTGGTAATCAATTTCAATATTGTTATTTCGTTAATTCGTTACGGAGCTTACTAAGTGGTTTTATGAATTACAATTTACATTATCTAAGGTAGATTGAGCGATAGTCATTATTCATCCTATTTATCACAAGCAAAGTTTTTGACGTGACATGACAAAGCAAGGGTGTTAAATGCGTAGGTAGGAACGGAAGTTCAAACAATTTTTTTATTATATATTCGGACATTAATAACCGGACGGCCATGCAAATAAGGGCTGGTGAAAGCTCATAAATAAAATCATTTGTCAAGAGTCACAAGCTATACGTGCTGAAATAAAACAACGCTATCAGCCATCACGCCAAAAAACCTATTTTTTATACATATTCATTCTGTTTTGGCTAAAACATGGATTTGATTTATTTGCAAATTGCAGAAAGTGTGTTTAAGGACTTAAAATTTATTTTTCGCGTAAAATTGTTTATCTGTGGTTTTTATGGTATCTGCTTATTTATTAATTCTTAGCAAAAGTGAATGTGAAAAGAGATAAATAGCACTAATGAACTCCGCTTTCATCATTATCAATCCATAATGTATCTCCCAAATGTTGAGTATGAGTTTCCTTTATCATTATTCTCCTTGATCATGAATGGATGAACTTATAAATTATACCTAAATAATTAGGTGATTGTACGTATCAATAAGTAATTACGTTGTTACTTTAGTTACGTTTTATTAAGTAGTAGTTGTACAATGAGTAAATGAATTATGAATTATAAGATCATTGAAGTAGTATTTACTGTCTTTTGTATCAAAATAACATTGCGAAGTGCTGACCATAAAATTCGTGCGGTTTTTGCCACGAGCAAACTTAAAAAAAAAAATTGTTCTTTTAAAATGTTATATTGTCTATGGTCATTTCATAATATTTTAGCGCGCGTTTTAAGAATAGGTGAGAAAGTTTCAAGTTTATAATTCACGAAAAATCCCTAGAACTGATAGATTTAGAAAATATAGATAGTAGCAGTAGAGCTCCTTGTGAAAGAGTTCGTCCAGGGTAGTACTAACCATAATCTACAGACAAGAAAGATCCCCATAACAATAAAATGATAATATTTTATATTAAAAAGTATACTTACGATCTACCATATTATCACCATCGTAAACTACCCAGTAAACTGCCCAGCCGTATTTTCTCAACTTTGTTAAATTTTGGGATGGCCAAACAATTCGCGCGGTATAAAAGTATAAATGAAAAACATTTAAAAAAATAAGTATCAAACCACCAATTATGTATTGGCCATGTTGATTCTCAAAAGGAAGGAAAGGTTGACAAACTTTCAGGTAATTTTATAATTCCCCTCTTATAAAAATTTCTGTCTTTTCTTATATATCTCAGTGTAGATCAATAGTCTCTTCGTTATGAAAGTCGTGTCCATTCAAAGAATTTTGTAAAGATCGAAACAAGTCAAAATCTAAAGGGGCTATGTTGATCGAATAATCTGGAGATACGCTTGTTATGTAAACTCTAGCTAGTTCTTAGTAAGCCTGGCCTGCATCAACGCCTCGACGCCATAGAGTCCAGACATGAGGTTGCATTTCCTGTCCGATAACGCGCTCTGCGCCGGAGCATTGATGCATCCTGACAATTAGTATTAAGATAGATTTAAGACAATAATAACATGTACTAAAATTGTGAATTAAAATAAACTTTTCTTTTATTGAAAATTATATTTTTTTTTATGAAAGCTCTCCGAAAGAGCTTAACTGGCGCAGTCGGTAGGATAGTGCTGAACTGGACAACCAAAAATCGTGTTCAGTGTCCGTTTTAACGGTTTACAGTGCGAACTATTTTCCCAAAAAGTGACTTTACGTTTTGTGGAAGCTGCGACGCCTTGAGGGTTTACACCGCCTTCGTGAGGACTAATTAAGATGATTGTTTTGCTGATAATACTGTGAGTACGCTTGGATTTGTAAAAGTTCATAACTTTTCCTTTCCCGTTTCCACGAATTTTGTGAAAAAAAAAAAAAAAAAATATAAATAGTAATAAGAATTACTAAATTGTGTTTTACGTTCATATATTTACTATAATACATCATTTAAACTGTATCGCACAGTCTTATTTGTTACTAATTGAATTGTTTCTTTACATTTTAATAATTATAATTTCGTAAGTGCATCATGGCACAATTACAACTGTTTGATTTAGCTCTGAAAATAGTACCTGAATATAATGGAGATGCTAATTCCTTATATAGATTTATTAATGCATCTGATCATATCTTTACACAGTATTTTGACAATGAAAACGAGAATAATTTTCAAAATATTATAATTGTTAATGGATTGATCGGAAAATTGAAGGGAAAAGCTCTTGATATCGTAGACGTAAACGCTGCAAATACGTGGCCAAGAATTAAAGAAGTTTTGATTGAAAATTTTTCAGACCAAAGGGATGAAAATTCTCTTAACCGTGACCTTGTCAATTTACACCAGGGAAACGAGAGCCCCCAACAGTTTTACGATAAATGCACAAATTTGTTGACTACTTTGATAAATTACATAAATTTACATAATGACGATCAGAACGTTATTGCATGCAAGCGAGATTTTTTCACCGCCCAGGCGTTGAAATCCTTTTTAGCTGGATTAAGGGAGCCTTTAGGGTCTACCATTCGTGCTATGCGCCCCGAATCTTTGCCTCAAGCCTTGCAATTTATTAAAGAAGAAGGCAATATAATGTACTTACAAAAACGTAATCAACCTCAAAGTAATACTAATATCAATAAACAGGCAAACCAAAATTATAAACAAAACCCTAATTTCTACCAAAATCCTAATTTCAGACAAAATAACTCACAGAGATTTTCCCCAAATTGGTTTCAACAAAGACCAAATCAAAATCATAATAATAACAACCTTAACCAACAAAATTTCAGATCGAATTTCAACCAGCCTCGACCTAATCAAAACCTACCAAATAAATTTAACTACTTTTATCAAGATCCAAACTTCACTCCTAGGTCAAAACCGACCCCTATGAGTGGTATTTCTCACCCGAATACTCAAAATAATAATAATCACAATTACAGGTTTGTTCAGAAACCGAATTTCAGATTGCAACAACCAAATGCACAGAGGCCAAATTATTTCCAAAATGTGGGTCACTACCCTGACTTTGTTTTCGAAGAATTAAATCACAACGATACAAATAATAATGAGTTTGTTGATCAAAGTTGCTTTGCTGATTATTCAAATGATTACGACATTGAACCGGAATTTATTCCTGTTCCACATGATACAACATCCCAAGTTGACTCTGTACCCACATATACACAGATCTCTGAAAATTGTGATAATCAAAATTTTCACGATGTTTTAAACCAAAACAACGAAACATGATACAAGTGAATGTTCACTCCAAAAGACAACTTCCATATATACAAATTAATAACCCACCACTGAAGTTGTTGATCGATACAGGCTCAAATCAATCTTTCTTGTCACCTGAAACTATTAAAAGGTATTATCAAAATTTTCAGTTAAATTTTGAACCTTTTTCAGTCACGAACGTGCATTGTACTACCCATCACCAACATACTATTGACTTACCACTATTCAAAGAATTTAATTCAAACGAAATGTGCAAGTTTCATGTTTACAAATTCCATAACATTTTTGATGGCCTTATCGGCCTCGACCTTCTAGAGAAACTGAAAGCATGTGTCAACTTATCCAGCAGATTACTTGTGACAGAGTCCGCTAAAAATCCCATCCACATGTTGGAAACCGGCGTTCATAATCTATTTGAGGCATTAGTCAAGTCTAAGAGCACCGCTGCTCTGAAAGTTCCTGTAAAAACAAAAGATGGTGAAATATATATCCCCGAGATGACATTAAATCAGTGTAAAATGCCACCTCTAATTACACGATCAAATAAAGGATATGCTTATACAGAGATTAGCAATCCTACTTGTAATGACATAATCATTAGCTTGACGGCTCCACTGAATACAGTTCCCCTTGAAAGAAATTTTGATTGTTTCAACTTTGAAACCCCTTTACCTAAATCCACAGACATTGAATCTCTTTTAAGAACAAACCACATGAACGCTGAAGAGAAAGAAAAAATCACGAAATTATGTAAAGATTATAGTGACATTTTTTATTACGAAGATTGCCCTCTCACTTTCACAAACACAATCAAACACAAAATTAAAACCACAGACGAAAGTCCCGTATACACAAAATCATATAGATATCCATATATACATAAAGCTGAGGTTCAATCTCAAATAAAAAAAATGCTTCAACAGAAAATTATACAGCCATCTGAGTCCCCGTGGTCCTCTCCAATTTGGATTGTGCCTAAAAAACTTGACGCTTCCGGACAACAAAAATGGCGTCTTGTTGTAGATTACAGAAAGTTAAACGAAAAGACAATCAGTGACAGGTATCCGATTCCCAATATATCCGATGTTCTCGATAAATTGGGCAGATGTTTATATTTCACCACTCTCGATTTGGCGAGTGGTTTCCACCAGATTGAAATGCATCCAGATGATATACAAAAAACAGCATTTACTGTAGAAAATGGGCATTATGAATACCGTCGCATGCCTTTTGGGCTGAAAAACGCCCCTTCCACATTCCAAAGAGCCATGGAAAAGATACTCCGTGGATTAATCAATGAAATCTGTGTCGTATACATGGATGACATAATTATTTTCAGTACCTCGTTACAAGAACACATTACAAACATTGAAAAGGTCTTCCAGCGCCTTAGAGAGGCTAATTTTAAAATACAGCTCGATAAATCGGAATTCCTTAAACACGAAACTGCCTATTTGGGACACGTAATCACTCCAAACGGTATCAAACCAAACCCAGATAAAGTTCATGCCATAAAGAATTTTCCAATTCCCACCAACACAAAAGAAATAAAATCATTTCTGGGACTCCTCGGTTATTACCGAAAATTTATTCCCAATTTTTCGAAACTTACCAAACCTTTAACATCATGTTTGAAAAAGGGAGCAAAAATAAATATTCAAGACCCAACTTATGTAAAAACCTTTAAGCTTTGTCAAGAACTTTTGATGAACGATCCAATTCTCAGTTACCCAGATTTCGACAAAGAATTTATTGTCACTACAGACGCCTCTCAGTATGCCCTTGGTGCTGTGTTATCCCAAGGTGCAATAGGTTGCGACAAACCAATTGCATTTGCTTCCAGAACACTTAACGATAACGAAATCAACTACAGCACCACTGAAAAGGAACTGCTTGCCATTGTTTGGGCAACAAAATACTTCCGCCCCTATTTATTTGGACGTAAGTTCACAATAGTAACCGATCACCAACCTCTTCGTTGGCTAGTTAATCTAAAGGAACCCAACTCTCGTCTTACAAGGTGGAAGCTTAAACTTGCAGAATACGACTACAAGGTTGTATATAAAAAAGGTACATCCAACACAAACGCAGATGCATTATCCAGGGTTGCAATTAACAATAATGAGACAACACACACTGACGATAATAAGTCCGTTTCTGAAATGCTGGATGACATTTTATCACTTATTGGCAATGTTTCCGAAATACCCGATTTAGATAATTTGGAATTAGATCAGTTACAGGAGGATACAGTTCATACTAATCAGGAACAACCCATTCTAGAAATTCCTATTGCCGAAAAATCTGTAAACACCCACAAAAATCAAATCTTCATACAATTTGTTTTACACTCACCATCTAAAGTAAATATAAAAGAAATCTTCCCTGGTAAAAACCGTATCATGGCTCAAATAGGCTTGAACAATTTCACTGAGGATACAATTGATTTATTCAAACATTTCATACGACCCGATATTCAACACGGCGTTTGGCTTTCAGACTTCAAATACTTACCTGATCTAACTAAGGCTCTGCAAACATTTTTCAAAAATTCTGCTTTCGACTTAGTGTTCTGTAAACAAAATCTAAAAGACATTACTGACAAAGACGAACAATATCGTCTAGCAAAAGCTTATCATGAAGGGAAGTCGAATCATAGAGGTATAGTGGAAACTGAAAAACAGTTAAGGCGTAATTACTATTGGCCAAATATCCCTAACACCGTAACAGAAATTATAAACAACTGTTCTTCTTGCCAGACTAATAAGTACGAAAGACATCCTAATAAACAAAGTCTCCAGTTTACTCCAATCCCTACAAAGCCATTCGAAATTATTCATATAGACACTTTTCAAGTCAAAGGTCAAAAATTTCTGACAATAATAGACAAGTTCTCGAAATATGCACAAGCATACCCCCTTGAGAGCATGTCAGGAGTAAGCGTCATTAACGCACTTACCATTTGGATGACACATCATGGCTTACCTTTGAATATTACTGCCGATCAAGGTACGGAATTTAAAAATCTTCCTCTTAAAGAATTTGCTGCCTTACATAAAATAAACCTACATTTTACCAGTGTCAATAATCCGCAATCCAACGGAGCCATAGAAAGATTTCATTCGACGATTTTAGAACATATTCGTTTAATCCAACAAAACCACAAACAATCCCCAATTATCGAAGTAATGCTGTTTGCCGTACTAGCTTATAATAATTCAATACATTCTGCAACAGATAAAAAACCAATTGAAATTATTAACGGCCATTTAGATAACAGAGATCCATTCGATCTCCAACTTGAGAAACAATGTCTTCAAAATTATATAAACAAACATAAAGAAATAACCGTCGATATGTACGCAAAAATTAACGAACGCTTAAATTCGAAACAAATGGCTACTATAAACAAACGCAATGAAAAATTGGAAGCGCCTCTTGAATATGAGGAGGGCCTTGCAATTTATCCAACTAATCCCCTTGCTGCTCGTCACAAAGATCAACCTCGTTATATAACTAGGACAACTGCCCGAGATTTAGGAATAAAGGTAGCAGACATCAGAGAACAAAAATACCATAAACGAAACATAAGGAGACCCCTGAAAATGCAACATTCTTTGTTACAGGACGATGGTGAGCTACCCGGCACGAGCCGAGGAAGCCAAACTAATACCAATGACCAATAGCCCCGGAATATTGCCGTTCAAGTTAGGACCATCAAAAATTCGACAGTCTGATCATGTTTTTTTACATTTTATAGATTTAGATTCTATAAAAGATCATATAAAAACCATTCAAAGTCAAATTTTTACTCTTGACGCTTTAGTTCACGATTTAAGTAAAAATTATAAATTTAGATTTTTGTCACTTCAAGAGTATATTACGGATAGGTTAGATAGTATTTTAGATAAGTATAATTCTCTAAGTAAAACTAGATTTAGAAGAGCTCTTATAGATGGCCTAGGTACTTTGATTCATAGTATTACTGGAAACTTAGACCAAAATGACGCACTTAGGTACAATACTGCCATAAGTATACTACAGAAAAATCAGAACAACCTTGCTCATCACGTTAATCAAGCAATAACCCTAAACAAACTATTCCTGGAAAACTTTAATAGTACCATATCGACCATTGTACGTAATCAAAATAAATTATCCTTGAAAATCTCTGAACTTATTAGATACACAAATGTTTCAGAACAAACATTTATTGATTTTGTTAAATTAGACAGCTCTTACAAATTATTAGAAATAAACATACAAATTATTTTTGACACCTTATCCAAGCTGGAAACTGCCATTTCTCTCTCAATAAAACATATAGCGTACCGTAATCTCATAACGTTTTCAAATGTAGAATACTTTATATCAGAACTTAATAATTATTACATGCCTGATCAATTAATTACCTCCGATGTGAAAGAATCTCGTCTATTTTATAACTTCCTAGATGTAAGCTCTTACTTTAGCGATAATAAGTTAGTATTTGTCATTAAAGTACCAATATTTTTTAAGAATATATTCACATATTATTATTTGTTCCCTATCCCTACTTCTAATAGTACCATTCTAATTCCTAATAAATCCTACTTAGTTATGAACGAAAATGCGTACCAGTATTTGGACATTCCATGCGATAGAGTCGGAAACATCCACTACTGCCAAAGCGGTAATATCCTTCTGCAAGAAGCAAAACATAGCCCTGATTGTGTATATACACTTATAACCACCCAGAAACTGACGTCGCAATGCCAATATCACCAAATCAACATTGAACAAGAAATATTTGAAATGATTAATAACGAATATTACATTATTTTTAGTCATAACTCTACAAAACTACACATACAGTGCGTTCAAGACGAATACTTACAAATAAAAGGTGTATACTTACTCCGGCTTCCAGAGAATTGTAGTGCATCCAATGAAAAGCTGAAATTCATAAATTTGCATAATGTCTTCAACGGAAAACCTATAAAATTGTTTGCGTTCAACTACGATGAAGC